AAGGAGGGTAGGGGCTGAGGAAGCTCTAGAGGCCACCAGGATTGAAACTGCAACTAAAACCGCAGACAGGCTTCCCACACCCTGGGGCTACTGTAGACACCCTGAGTGCGCTGGGGGCAGCTGAGCAGCTGGTGATACAGCCTGCAACAGCAGCAGCGAATGTGTGGCCGGGACACTTCTGCTCCCTTCCGCAAAATGGCGGCCAGAAAAAGGGCAAAGACACGGGGGAGCTCAAAAACACGGGGGACATCAGCCCACATTGGTAGAAAAGCCAGACCCTCTGTCCTGCATGCGTTTCTGGGGGGAGGCTTTAAAACAGAAACCGCACAGAAGTGTGTGCTCTCTTCCTCTCTCCCAGTCAGGGCAGGGCAGGGCAGGGTGGGGTGGGGTGGGGTGCGGAGCGTTTGTGGGACCCTGCAGGCTTTGTGACAGCAGCATACAGACACACAGGCCGGGAAGGTTCCTCAGCCCCAAGGGCACAAGCAGCTTTGGGTGCTGGGGCCGCAAAGGCGGAGCTTCCCCTGCACAATTGGCGGAGTGGCCTGGCAGTGCACCCCGAACCCTGGGAGAGGGAAAGTTGTGCAAGGTGGTGGCGGCTCTGGAACGCACAAGTGTGCACCCAGAGAGAGCGAGCCGCAAAGCTGGAGATGGAGGCCCGCTCACGGGGCCGCCATGGGCTCCAGAAGGACAGGTAAGCAATGACTGGAACTTCTGGGCATGGGTTTGGATTTCAGTCTTTTGGAGAACAAGGGGATTCCCGTGTACTCTGGAAGAGAATGGCTTGGAGCAGGGGAGACCTCAGCTCCCCCAAACTGGGAACCCTGTTCATAAAAACCTCTTTCCGTCCTCACCCATTTCCGTGTTATGCCTGAGCATGAGGGCAGATGGCTGGACCCCAGGCTCCTTGGTTACAAGGTCACACGTCTACATGAGATTCTAATGTTCTCAAAATATAAAAATTTACTCCACATCTATGACATTGTTGTTGGAAAAAGCTGGCAACATTTACAATGAAATAAGGACCTGAAAAACTTTTCAAATGGCTCTGACCTTCTTTCTCAGTAAAGAATACTGGAATACTGGTTCTAAGAGGTATGAAAATGGCGTCCAGTTAAATTATACTTATTACGCCTCACAACTTAGAGAAAGGAGAAAATTATCTCAGATACCTGGTGAACTAGCCAATATAAAATCCTGGGAGGAGAAATCCTGTGAATTCCATTCACAAAAGGGAGTATCTAATTGATAAAGAGTTTATTGAAATAAATCCAAGAGACATGCCAAGAATTGAGTGTGCTTCACATGTTCAGTGGACTTGGGTTCATATTCTTAAAAGAAATCCACATCAGGTTAATGAAAATAAATAGTTCAAGTAATAAGATTATGAGCCATAGAAAAATGATAAAACATACATTTACTGTATTTGTTAATCTGGCTGATGAGGGATAAAGAGATCTTAGACATCATCCTTGGAATGAGTCTTTAAAATACTCAGTGTCCCCTCTCCATTAATAATGTACCACAGAGTATCTAGTTTATGGTTTCATCATTTTGTTTAGTTAAAATAGAGAGAGATATGTACACTGTACATATATCTGCTTTTAAACCACAAGTAACCTGAATTTCACAGTAAATTAGAGGATTCTGCATGTTATTAAAATGAGTTTTGTTTTGTTTTTTACATTATGCACTACTGGATTGAGCACTTTTATGCCTTCTGATACAAAGGCTGGAGGATCCCTAACCCAAATGCTCAGACGCTGCGCTTTTCACTATCATCACAATACAAGCAAAACCCTCTTTTTGTTAAGCTCTTCCCACTTTTCTAGAAGCTTTTAAATACTTCACCTTATCTGGTCCTCCCCAATAACTCACAAAGATGAGCAAGGAACAGGGCATTCTCCCCACTTTACAGACCCAGAAACCACAGACATTAGGTAAATTGTCAAATAACTAGATGACAAAGCCATGCCTTCTGACCCCCAGTCCAGCATCCTTCTACCACATGCTATTGAATGTGGAATTATTAAGTATTAACTGACAATATTGCAATTATTCCACCTAAGGAGTCTTCTAATAAGTTCACTGGTGCTTCTCAGCATTCAGTTAAAATTCCTAAATCACTACTTCCAGACTTATCTTCAAACTGGAAAAACCATACGTATTTTGCTTAAAGAAGGAGACACTATAATTGCAATGATTGGGTACCATCACACTACATCCATCTGATCTCCCACTGGCTTGTTCTAAGCTGGGGCCAAAAGCAATAGTCAGCTGCTGAGCAGACCAGCTTCATCTGCCAAGAGCTCCTCCTCTCAGCTCCTCATGCCAATCACGGAATTATCCATATCAAACCGATGAACTTAGAAGTGGGTGAATATTATTCAGTGCCTTTTCTTGTACTAACAGTGACCAAAGATGAAATCAAAAGGTACGAATACGAAACGTCAAAAAATACCAATTCAAGCATAGTAATACTTGATGGTGAAGCAAACTGGGACTGAGTGGGAAGAAAGCAGGTGCTGAGTGAGTCACCTCAAAACTTTCCCTCCCATCCCTCTTGTTCAGCTAACAATGGCTAACCATGGCAGGCAGCACGCTCTGGAAGGACAGATGTACAATGAGAAGCATTGCTGACAGAGTGGTCGTTCTGTGCTAGACTCTGACAGGTGCTGTATGCCAGCGGTCCCAACCTTTCTGGCTCGCAGCTCCTCGCTGTGGATGGGGTAGGGGCAGAAAGGAGGCGGAGCTCAGGTGAGCTTTGCTTGTGGCCCGCTGGTTCCTACCAGGCTACAGCGGGTACCGGGGCTTGGGGACAACCCCCGCTTTATGAGATTTAACAAATCAGTGAGGTAAGGACTACCACATTCTCATTTCATAGCTGAGGGAACTGGAGGATTCAGGAAGGTGCTCCAGGAGACTCAGCAGGGACACGCCGGTTCCGGTCCAGGCCAGCGTCAGAGCCTGCGCTCCAAGATAGGGCTCTGCAGTCCCAACCCATAGTCAAATCCAGCCCGCCGCCTGACTCAGTTCAGCCCTAAGAACGGTGTTACATTTCTAAATGGTTGGGGAGAAAAAAAGATCAAAAAAGAGTGTTTCAAACTCCAGGGTCCCAACGTTGAAGCACGCTCACAACTGTTCATGACACAGTGGCTGTGGCCACCTCCACAGTACAAGGGCAGAGCTGAGTTCACTGTGACAGGAACCACAGGCGGCCTGCAAACCCGAGAATGTTCGCTACCTCGTCCTTTACAGAGAAACATGCTGACTTCTGCTCTAAGCCATGTCATTTTACGCTTCTTTATCATCTCTGAAATAACCCACAATTAACATATCCCAAATCAATCTCTTAATTTCTTCCACTACACACATCCAGATCCATATTTTAAGTCTTCCCATGTGGAAAATCCATCCTACGTAAAATCTATAGACCTAGGGTGCCTTCAAGTTCTTTCTGTCCCTCGTGATTAAAGCCACCAGCAAATCTGGTCAGCTCTGCCTTTGAAATATCTAAACATATTACTTCCCCTCCACTCTTGGCACCCTGGCCCATTGCTGCCATACCTCTTATTTTTTTGCTTCATTTCTTGCTCAAGACAGTAGTCACAATACTCTTCTGACCACAAAGCCTCTGGTCCTTCTAAACATGCCAGCCACGCCCCTGCCTGAAGGTTCTGGGGGCCCCCCACTACTGCAGACCTCTTTCCAAATGCCGTCCTGTGGTGTGGGGACAGGCCCTCCCTCCTCTCCACCTGACCCCACGCCCAGGCCCTGGGACTGCCTTTCCGGTGCTTCACTGTTTGCCCTATTATCTCAGCCTTCCATACAATATATATACTGGGCTTTAACTAAATTTCGGCTCCATGAGGGCAGAAGTTTAGTTCATTTTCCTCAAGAAAATGTATCTAGTGTACTACTGTATCTCTGGCACTAGACCACGGCCTGACATACATCAGGTAAGTTACTGACATAACTCAGTAAGTATCTGCTGAATGAATGAGAAAACAGGCCCTATACACAAGAAGCATTCAGTTCAGTGACAGAGACAGGCGAATGTATTCAACATGTAAATAACTGTACTGAATGGGGCTTCATAATGTACTTCTTAATTTACTTACTTTCTTATTAAACATCTTACTCTACACAAATCAAACGTGTGTGTGGCGGGGGCGGTGGTCAATGAGAGAGAGAGCCAGCTTTGCAATATTGTGGTCTATGGATGAAATTATCCCAGACAGCTCTACTGTGTTGCACAGGGACATTGTTTACATGCTTCAAGTCCCATTCTTACCTTTTGTTTCTGCTCTAATTTTCTCCTTTGCATCTTGGTCAAATTCTAGGTCCATGTTGACCATAGGTACTATATCTCAACCCCTCCTCCTGACTCTTCTCCCCAAGTCCTACTGTATTCAGCTCCTGTCTACCACACTTCAAAGACACATTCATCTCTTAGCCACAGATGTGGTGAAGCTGAGTTTTCACAAAGAAAATACATCCTTTAAAACACTATCACTTCTAAGAACACACTCAACCTTAGTCAGTGTTTGGGAGAATTAAGTATTCTAATAGAATTATACACTTGATATCTACATAATCTGAGTAACCAATGTCACACCAATCAATTCAATTAAAAAATTTTTTAAAGGAAGGGGAAAAAAGAAACTGTGAATGATGACGATGATGATGATGATGATGATGATGATGACAAGCACTCCACTGTGTGACCTAGGGACAGTGCAGTTCCTAAACATTTAAGGAAAAATAAGGGAGGTTTGCGAGTGGTAAAATGCAACGATGAACCAAATGCCACCACACTCACAGCTATCACAGCAGAAATGGCGTTGCCTTTTGGGATAATCTTTCTGCTTGGCTTCCTCACTTCCTGGCCACTTTTTAACTAGAAAAAAGTTTCCATTTTAATTCATTGATTTTTAAATAAATCTATGGGAAAGCTGCAGATGTGGCAGTAGAAGAGAACCAATGACAAGCAACAGTCTTACCCTCTCCTCCAGCCTAGCCAGCTGCTCTTTGTAGAATGCATCCTGTCTCTTTATCACGCGATCTTTCTCCTCCAGCAGCTTAGCCTAAAAAAAGAAATGAAGAATACACTGTATTAGGAAAAAGCAATAGCAAAGCAAAAGTCGAGTATAAATTACATTAGAAACAATATAAAAAGCTGAAGACTTCTGCAAACTATTAGGTCTCTTCCACAGAAAAACATTAATAAGATGATGATTGCTGGATTTAAATGGAAGGAATGAGTCTACATTGTTTTTTTTCTTTTTTTACTATATAACAGCTGTGTCCTACTTTGTCCAAATGTATCACAAAACAGCAGAGACAGTTTATTTAACTTCTCTTTTGGAGAGTAATTTCCAGGATTAGTGTTTTGTATAATAAAACTTTGATTTTACTCTGGGCATAAGACACATGGTTATTAACCTTTCTTGGACAACAAAAAAATGCCTACGTAACATTTTGTACAGGAACCTTATACTTGAGAACCCTTAAATTGCTCTGGGACACCTGAATATAAAGACATGCATTGGTCTAGTTCCTTTTTTATGAAGCAGCTGTCTTTACAGGGACGGTAAAAAAAAATTACTATAAATTTTTATGTAAATAATTAAAAGTAACAATGAAAGTAATTTAAACATCTGTTTTCCCACTTCTAATTTACAAGATCTTATTTACAAAATAAAAACACAATAAAATAGTTTTGGTTCTTGAAAACCATAAAGATAAAGATGGTTACTTATTTTTTGTAGATTAGTAAAAGAATGTATTTTTCAAATTATTGTTTGCATCTCAATTGTTGTTTAAGTGACCCCTCTCTTTCTGAGAGAACCGGCCTCCCTCTACCACCTCAACTTAGAAAAGTTTTTAACATATTTTTTGTTCAATGGATGCTGAATGCGCACCTGCCCAGGAATTTTAAGAAATTAAGGAAGGATGTATTTTGGCATTACCATATTTGGGCCAAGTGCTTTTTTTTGGCAAGGTGATCAAGTTGTCCCCTGGCTCAATTTCTCTAAGGGTTACCGCCACTATCTTGCTTAGTTCAAGTGAACCATTTGCACATCTTGTAGGTCATTGTTTTGCTACTTACTTTGGCATCAATGTCCTGCAGCATGTTAAAAAACAAACAAATAGTTATTTAACAATATAAGTACTGTTTTTTTCCTAGTGTCAGAAAGAAAACTGAAGCATAGTACCTACTTAAAATGCACACCAAAGGCGGCATAGGTAAGGGTCCAGGACAGGTTTACTTAACTTAGAACACATTTAAATGTGACTAGGCTATGAATTCAAATTGAAGATTTCAATGAGAAGTTCATATACTTGAAAGCATACAAATAAATAAAAACAAATACAACCTTAAGATCTGATGAAAACACATTCATATGTAAGTACATAATCTATGGCTCCTTTGTATAACACAGTGAAAACATGCCACTCTGTCATTAATATTTTTTAAAAAGCAAATGGAGAATGTTTAACAAAGCGAAGTGTGAAGAAAATAAGCACAACTGCACATATGATTTAAACAGAAAAGACCTCTCTAAATTCACCACAGGCACCCAAAAATAAATAAATGAAAAAGAGAGAACTTAGGAGACCCATCATAAAATAAATTATTAAACCAAATGAAAAGCAAATGACAAAAAGAAGAAAAAAACACAGTTGTGAGAGTTAATGTTACTACCATCTATAGCACTTAAAAAATAAGCCCTCTACCTCACCCACAAATGGCACAAACTGATAAATCACACACAAAAATGTGAAAAATAAACACAGGAAAAAAGAAAACTCATCCTCAGAAGAAATCAAAACATGAATGTCAAAATAATAATACCATTACAAAACTATAAAATAATAGTGGTAAGGATACAGGAAACCAGGCTCTTCTATACACAGTTGGTCAGAATGTATAATGGTGTAACTGCTTTTTAAGTCAATTTGACAAAATGTAATAAGGCTTAAAAATGTACACATCCACTAAGATATAAACACAATTTTTAGAACTTTTCTTAAGTAATTATAGCAATGTGCAAAGATGTTCATGATGGGGCTGTTCAGAATTGCAAAGAAACAAAAATAAAACCTAATTTGTTAAATAAAAATATTATCCATTTATACCAAGTTAAAAAAAAAAAGACTATAAACAGAAAAGACAGTATGATCTCTTTTTTTTTTTTGTAGGAAAGGGGGGAAAAAAGACCAAAAGGACAGTCAATAAAAATATCAACAGAGGTTATATACAGTGTGGTTTCTAGTTAATTTTGCTTCTATTTTCCAAATTAAAAAGAAACATACTTTGTAGTCAAAAGACGTAAGAGGCAAGTTTTTCAGGTGAGGGAACTATTTTGTTTCCGATTATCGTGATGGAAAACTCGTAGAAGTGTAACATTATGAAGAATGAATTGAACTACATAGAGAATACAAATTAAGCACAGGAAAACTTATGATAATAACATTTAAACACATGGACGTGCAGTGACTGCATCAACCTGCAGTCCCACCAGCAGTGCTCTGTGGTCCCCTTTGTCCCACGTCCCCGCCAACACCTGCTGTCTGCTGATTCACTGATGGTAGCCATTCTGACAGGTGCAAGGTGATATCTCATTGAGGTCTTAATTTGCATTTTTCTGATGATTAATGATGTTGAATATTTTTTCCTGTCTGTTGGCCCTCTGTATGTCTTCTTTGGAGAAGTGTGTATTCAGGTCTTTTGCCCATTTCTTAATTGGGTTATTTGTCTACCTGGCCTTGGGTTGTATTAGCTCTTTTTATATTTTGGAGATTGAATCTTTGTCAAATGTATCATTGGTGAAAATTGTTGTCCCATCCAGCAGGTTCCCTATTTGTCTTGCTGATGGTTTCTTTAGCTGTACAAAAGCTTTTTTATTTTGATGTAGTTCCATTTATTAAAGACAGAACTCCCTTTTGACCTAGCGATTCCACTTCTGGGAATATGAGGTCTGTCTGGAAAAAGTCCAACCATTGTTAACAAAATGAGAATGGATTACGCAACACCAATGTAACCCGGCAGCCAAGGAAAGTGGACTGGAATGCGCATGTGTGAGCAATGACAACTCCACTGTACTAGTCAGTGGGGGTGGTAGATGCCATTGAGTGAGCATGTGTGCCGTGTGGCCGTCGCATTCAAAATGACTGGACCAGTAAAGCAACGGATCTGAATCAAATTTTGTGTTAAGCTTGAACATTCCTCCACAGAAACTACCACATTCGGATGATTCAGAGGGCCGCAGCTATGGGCAAGAGGTTTCTGTAAATAAGATTTGGTTCAACAACAGGATATTGATTGTAAAGATTTTAGTCCATCCATAATGATAACCACTGAGAGCCATTAAAAATTGTGTTTCAATAGAACTGATTTTTTAATTCAAATGATTATGTTGGGGGAAAACAGGTCATAAAATAGTATGTATAGTTAAGTTCCTAATTTTGGTTAAGAAATGAGGGTTAGGGGCAAAAAAGAAGGAAAGGGTAAGTTGAGTGCTTCGTTATATGGACACGGGAAAAACAAAGTATGCTAAGAAGTTAACAGTGGATATGATATGCATAGTGGGATATATTTCTTATTTGAACTATCTTCTAGTTTCCAAATTTTTATAATGAACAATTATTATTTCTTTAATCAGAAAAATATTTTAAACATTAATATCATATACATTTTTCCCTGGCTATGAGATGAAAACATATATGAGGCTGAGAATGTGAGCTATTAAGTAAACTTATTTACAACCCACCCCCCCAAAATTTGTTCCAACAACTTAAACAGTTATTTACATCATGGATATCATTTTACTTACTAAATCCTTAGTGTATTAGCACTTGATTCCATCTCCCATTCAGTGTATGACATTACTCACCATGGTTCTTAAAACACTTGCACTAAATGTTTCTTTTGTTTGTGTACAGTTAGATACACAGTGAGGTTTTTGGTGTTTTTGTTTGTTTTGGTTTTTGGTTTTTTTCTATTACAAGAATATTGCTTGAGCTACTCCAACCAACAAATTTAATGTTAAGGGGCTGATTACAACCTAAGTAAAGGACATACAAAAATATCCTCATTTACATTTTCAGATGTCATCCCTGAAAGTTTTAACGCAACCTGCCAGAAGATCAGACATGGCCACAAAAGAGGAACTCCTTCCAAAGCACTGAAAACGCCAAACCACAGTCTAACTTCACAAATCTTTCCTTAGATGGTCAACAGAATCAATAGTTCGAGATCACTGGGGAGAATAACAAACAAGAAACATGGCCACACCACTTTAATGGTGCACCGCTCTGAAACAGTTAATGTGATGCTGGGAGGGAAAGTCACACAAGATGAATCCTAAAACTTAAATAACCCTGGGATACACTGACTGAGCTAATAGCGGCCAAGGATGGAGAGTCACACTCAACCCAAGGAAAAGCAGTAAACCAAATGCAAGGAAATAAAACATCTACGTGTGACTCTAATAGATGTAAGTGAACATGTAAAAACAAAGTGGATCCCAACATTATTTATTGTTACAGTATAATCATTTCTTAGGGAAAAATCAATATAAAAAGTTTTCCCCCACCTCCTGTTAGCTATTCCTCCTCCTACAAGCAATGTGCACATTAGTTTTCAGATCCTGTTAGATTTGGGATGAAATGACTGGGCTTGAAAACATGACAGAAAGAGCTTGCATGATCATTATGGAAAACAGGAATGTTCCACATGCAAGAGAAACAAAGAAAATAGCAAAAACAAGTTTTAAGAAACCCAACACAGACACATTGGCAGCCAGATTCAAAATGAAGTATATATGTATTTCCTTCCTTGAAAAGAGGTAAAGGCTTGCCTCTTTTCAGAAAAAAATGAAAAGTTTATGTACTTAACAACCTCCTCTCTTCATTGTTTTTTTAGAAGACTTTATTTATTTTTAGAGAGGGGGAGGGCAGGGAGAGAGGGAGGGAAACATCAATGGGAGAGAGGAACACTGATAGGTTGCCCCTTGCACATGCCCCGACCGGAGGCTGAACCCACAACCCATGCATGTGCCCTGACTGGGGTTGAACCAGA